TAAGTCAAAACCCTAGGTCAAATAATTCATTCCATTTGGGGATTATTTGACCTAATTGGGAATTAATCAACCTAATTGGGAGTTACTCAATTTAATTGGGGGTTACCCAATTAAATTGAAGACTACCTAATTGGGTTGAGAATTGATTCCTAATTCCTACCCCGATTCTCAATTAAATGAGGAGTTACCTAATTGAAATAGGATTTGATTTGATACCTACCACAATTAGGGATTTGATTTACCCTAATAAATCAAATCCCTAATTAATCAAATCAATTCCATAAAGGGGAGGAATAATTCCCTTCCATCTACGGAATTATTCCTCTGAAACCCTAGCCTCCAAGACCATTATAAAAGCATAGCCACACACAATGGTGGAGGTACGTCTAAATTCCTACTGAAACTCTGCAGAAATCCTTTCTCACAAACCCTAGCCACCACTTTCTTTCTCTCCCTTACACAAGGCTCCGGCCACCACACACGGCTCCGGCCACCCGGTTTTCCTTGAAATACCTTACCTAACTTAGGCATCAGAGGGCCTTTGGCCAACACCCCCCGGGTGTGGTCCTTTTACTCCGATCTGTTTTGCAGAGAGAAAGAGAAGCGGAGAAGACGAAGGAATCTTTGACGAATATTCTCGTGGGGAAAATCATTCCCTCCAATTATCATGTCAACCTATTACTGACCCAATCAGATAATGCTAGATCGAAACACTTAGGGCCGGTTTGATAACAATTTCAATTTTAGTTTTTAGTTTTCATTTTTCATTTTTTATAGCAGAGAAAAGAGGAAAATGAGAGTGATGATGAGATTTAGAGAGAGGATGAGAGGAGAGGATGGGAGGGAAGAGTAACAAAAGTGAAAACAATTTCAAATTGATTTCAGTTTTTAGTTTTTGTTTTCACTTTTGTTACTCCTTCCTCCCTCCTCTAATCCCATCTTCACTCTCATTCTCACTTCCATTCTCCCTCTTTTTCCTCTATACTCTAGCACAAAAAATGAAAACTAAAAACTAAAATTGAAATGGTTGTCAAACGGGCCCTTAATGTTTCATTTCAAATTGTGCCGTGTTATCTTGTCATATATGATTTTGCTACATACAGTACTCTCGAAGGACTAATCTCCTGAAATTTGTTAAGGAGCATCATGTTATGCAATGGGCTCCAGAAGCATGGGATACAGAAGTATTTAATCAGTCATTTCATGATATTAGCACTGAAGATTTAGGTTCTCCATAGACTTCCTGTTTTCTTGTATATGTGGTCATCCTTCTTTGATTTGGTTTATTTTATTTTATTTATTTACACTTTTTTTTTAATTTTTATTAATTGTCATAATCAGTGAAATGTAACTTCAAAGTGAACAAAGCTCAAGAATGTGATGCTTCAAATCTTTAAATTTGGCTCTGTTCACATTAAAACAGAGAGATTGAGGAGTCTGATTACCAGGAAAGTTAGAGTTGATAAGCTATACTAGAAATGTTTGTGCATAAGAATACTTATTATAGTTGATGATCGGATCTAGTACAAATTTGAATGTAATATTTGTGTACCTCAGATTACATGATAGTGTAGTACACTAACAGGATAGATGAATTAGGTTCTATCAATTTTGGCAGAAACTTAAAGTTGCCCCAGCTAGTTGATTTACTTGTGGTTCAACATGTACTGGAAAAAGGGCATCATTTTAAGGAAAATGTGAGTCTGATGTCTGATTTGGTCTGGAAGATATCACTAAGAATTTGGCTGAATTTTGAACTTAGAGATTGACACGTAAATATGAAAATTCGTTGATGTGGTCACCTTCTGTCCTGATTATAGGATGCATGAAGTTAATTTACTTGGGTAACAGCTAACATCACTTTTTCGTTTGTTCTAAAATAAATTGCAGGATGGGCAACAGGTTTGTCTGCTGGTGAAGGAGCGTCGACTTTTGACTTTTCTTTCTTTAGAGTAGATATTGATCTCACTGATGCGGGTCATGGTTAGTTTATCTTTTATCTTTTTCATTTTTAGGTATTCTTATTTCTCCCAACCCCTGCCCCCATTTAGGCTTCATTTCATTTTGGATGAACATTTTTCACAAGTCCTAAGACAGCTTGAAGTGCTTATCTAACATATTCTTTTTGTAGGGTGGCATTCTTTTAATTGGATTTTAGTTTTCTAGAATATGATAAACCTTTTGACTATATTGCAGAGCACATGCAAGACATCGTAGGCTTGCTTTTCAAATACATTTCCCTCTTACAGCAGTCAGGCATCTGCAAATGGATTTTCGATGAGGTATACATATTGTGTATTCTAGTGTATGAATTACAGGTGCATGATACCTTTATCTGCATTCTGTCTAACATCAAGTGTTGTATCTTCACAGTATGAATTACTGGTGCATACTCTTACTAAGAAGATGGCTAATATGTCATGGCAGCATATTCATTCTTGGTTTCCACATCTGTTTGTCATGAGATCAGTCTAAGGATGATGGATATAAGTTATTCTAGTCGTTGGTGTCATCTCAAGGACTCCAGGGGTTGGACTGAGTGTACTTATATATATTGGCGTTTTAGATTTGTAACTATCCCTACTCCAAGGTAGAGCGTCTCTTCCCTCCCCCTCCCTTCCCTAAACCAGACGAATCCTTAATGTGTAGAAGGGTGGATTAGTCAACTCTCGAGACCTTAAAATATATTTTGCAATGGCCTTAGGATGTTTTCCAGGGACTTGTTCTACTGCTGCTATATTAGACAGTGATAGATAGCCTTTTATTTCATGGTTACAATGGAGGGAATTGTACCCTGGACCTAACCTAATCATAACCCATTTCCCCACCCACCCTTATCACTTGGGCTAACCCTAAGGGTGAATGCAATGCTGACTTTATATATGAATATGACAATTGTGAGGCTGACTTTACATCTGATTCATCACCATTTTCTCTTGATTTTCTTTGTATCTAAACAGTTTTAATCATACTGTGGTTTGAATTGAGGAATAAATTCTTGAGTTATGTTAATTTTTATATTCAAAATTCGGTTTGGAAATTGTCTTTCAGATCTTTCTTAGAGAATCTGATATACCATCGGTTTACTGTAGCTTTCTGCTGTTTGCGAGACAGAGTTTCATTATCAGGACAAAATTCAGCCAATTAATTATGTGGTCAGCATTTCGGAAAATATGCAGGTATTCAGGCTTCTTTTTTTTTTTAACCGTGCTTCTATTCAGTTGTTTGATAATTAATATTCACTTGCTTCTTACTCACATGACATGTTTGTGTCCTTACACAGAAATATCCCTCAAAAGATTGGCTAGTGAGATCATCCTTGCCTTCTAACTTCAGTACAGACATTATCCAAATGGTGCTGAACAAGTTGTCTCCAAACAATGTCAGGTAAGTCTTTCACTTAGTTTGGGTTCTTTACGGGTTGGTAAGGTAGAAGGCTATCTTCCAAGGATATCATGACTTTGCCACTCATTTTAGCTTGGTTCTTTTTATTGGTTTAAACATTAGATTTTGGGAAGATCTGTCCTGGAGTGATGCTCCTTTTTCTTATTAAAGAAGTAATGTTCGTTTCATGCTTGAAATTTTTATGCTTTATCATTTCTATAATAGTAGAAGGGTTGTCTCCATGACCTTTTAGTGTCCTTCTCCAGAAACTGTCTTACCTACTTGGGGTTTTAATTTTTTTCTGAAATCTGAATGATGGAAAGGTAGCATTTCATCACAATCCAGGAAAATATTGTGTTTTTGGTGGAGGGGAGAAAGGTAAGGTTTAATGGATCTTTTGGGTTATTGTCATGCATTGGGGCTGTGGTGGCGGTTAGTCAGGGAGGCAGGGGTTTATTGGGTTGTTCCTCAGTCACATTCAAACATTCTTTGTGAAAAATATTGTCCTTTGGTGGTGGAAGGAAGACAACAATTTCATGGTATCACACTGTGTTAGCTTCTTTTTGGGTAATTTGTCCTAAGGCCTCTAAATCCACTTACCATCCTAAGAGGAGAGATTCAAAGCATGTTTTTATAAAAGTTTGGTTAATGTAGTTCTTGCCTTGGACTGTTAACTCATATCTACTTGCATTGTCAACAAGGATGGAACTACACTATGGCTAGAGTAGGTTCTAGCCTAGTGCAAAGTTTGGGAAAAAAGAAAATTAATACTAATTTTTAGGCACTACACCTCATTTTACAAAAATTAGCCTAAGCAAAAATTAGCATGTCCTATCCAAACAGATCTCCAGTTAGCTTCAAGTTTTCTCCGATGAGAAAATAAATGGAATTTTATTTAGATCTTTTACCCATATAAGAAATAATAGCTCACCCCTATAAAAATTTCTGATTCCGTCCTTGATTGTCAAGCAAATGATGTCAACTTCTTACAACCTTGAGTGTTTTGGAAATGGAATATGTCAATACAATCAGCAAATTTGGACTACTGACCCTCCCTTTATTTCTTGGTACCTTTATCTAATTGTAATAAAAGTTTTGTTTTTATCGAAAGACGGCCTATCACTTGGTTTGCCTACGTATAAGCAAAACTTAGAGATATGATAATAGAAGAACCCTGTTATCTGTTATGTTCAAGGAATGTTTGGCCCACCTGCATTCACTTCTAAAGAATTGACTGAAAGACTGCAGTATCACAATCAAGTTCTGATTGCAATTTTTTGAATGTACTTGTGTTGATTGAAACTTATTTAGTCTTGGTTTCTCATAGTGATTCATGGCACTATAACTCATTAATCACTTATCGTCATTTCTTGAGGCTGTCAGTGTATTATTTATGTGGGAATTTGATCTTTCCATCCATGGCATACTATTTCTTGATGCTGTCTAAAAGTTTGGTCTCAGCAATTAAGAAAGTTTTTAGTTTTTCTCATAATTCTCCTATTGTCTATTTTTTCTTTTCTAAGCGACATATGAAACATAATGACAGTACATTGTATTAAGTTTCCTAATAGGGCCTTTGTTCAACAGAATTTTCTGGGAGTCGAAGAAATTTGAAGGTCAAACTAACATGGTTGAGCCATGGTATGGAACTGCTTATTCCATCGAGAAAATTACGGGCTCCATGATACAGGTTCTATATGTATATCGAGTTTTATATATTGATGAACACAATAGCATTAGTCAGTTTTCTTTTCTTTTTTCCTCTTCTTTTTTTTTGGGTGTTTTTTAGAGTGATAGTAATATATAAGGTATGCTGCTTTTTTATTTGCATCAGTTTAGAGGTATTAGGAATATTTTAAGGGGAGGAGAGGAAAACACTTTTGATCCTGAAAGTTTTTCATTTGAGTGCAGGAATGGATAGTGTCTTCGCCAAATGAGAATCTGCACCTACCAGCACCTAATGTATTCATCCCCACCGACCTGTCACTTAAGAACGATCATGAGAAGGTGTGATGAATAATAAAATTTAACTGGAAGTTAACACAGCACTTAAATTCTTCTGATATGATTGACTTTTTATCAGGCCAAATATCCAGTTCTTTTAAGAAAGTCGCCGTATTCAACACTATGGCACAAACCTGATACAATGTTCTTTACTCCTAAAGCTTATGTTAAGATTGATTTCACTTGTCCCCACGCAAGTGACTCCCCTGAAGCAGAAGTGTTAACTAATATCTTTACTCAGTTGTTGATGGATTACTTGAATGAATTTGGTAAGATATGTAGTTTCAGTTAATTACTTGGTTTCATTGGTGGCGTTGCATACACAACGTGTTATTTTCTTGAAGAGCTTATTCAAATATTTAATTCTTTCTTTGTCAGCTTACGATGCTCAGGTTGCTGGACTGTATTATGGAATAACCCACACAGATAGTGGATTTCAGGTATCAATATGAAACTTGCTAGATGGTTCCTTTTAAATTTTTGTTGTGTTTCTGTAAAATTTTAGTCTCTGCTGTCACAGCTACTCCTTGAATCGATTCATTCTCTAAAAGTTGCATTGTTCATTTCATAATACCTTATGTAGCAAACAAAAAAATAATAATAATAATAATAAAGGTGGTCTACACAGGGTAAATGGTAATTCAGTATTGCATGAAACATGAAACATGAAGGCTTTGAATACTGAATTATTATTATTGTGGACCTTGGATCACTTGGATCACTTTTTTGGACACCCATTGTGGACCTTTGAATTCCGAATCAAGAAATTCTTGATTGTTATTGTCCTGGGGATATGGTGTTGATCTAAAACTAGAGGAATAAGAAGTGTCTGTAACTCATCCAATTGGTATTATAATGTTTTTAAGGGGGTTAGAAACAGTGAACTTAACTATGTTTAGTTGGAAGATCTTGAGGCGTGGCATTATTCCAAATTTGGTTTTACCTTTTATTGATCATAACTGTCCGTGGATTTTACCTTATGTTTTCTTGTGTAGGTGACTCTGGTTGGCTATAATCACAAATTAAGGATTTTACTGGAAACTGTAGTTGAAAAGATCGCAAGCTTTGAAGTGAAAGCTGACAGGTTCTCTGTTATAAAGGTAAACTTCAAGGCTCCCTCATAAAAATATTAGCTTTTAATATTCCTAGTCATTTTTATGGATGAGGATTTTGATAAGCTCTGTCACTAGTGGTACAGTAACTGGATTAATAATTTTGCATATTATTGACTTGTTGCGCTGTGTTATTCCAGAGGCTTACACCAAACTATCTTATGTTATGCAGAGCCAATAAGAATTTTGAAAAGATACTGAATCATATCTGCCTATATTCTGTTATGTTTCTTTATTTTCTTTAAATAAACAAAACATTTGGGACATTCTCCTTATTTAGGTATTTTAGGATCTCCACGATTCTTCTCGTGCTTTCTCATACTGGGATTAGATTTTTCCATGCATGGGATTTTCTAGTTTTGGCATAACAGACACTCTGTTGATCACACATCAAGAATATAGTCTTGTCCTGTTTTTAAAACAAAAAAAAGAATATAAAGTCTTGTCTTACAGCATGTAATATCCTGGTCCTCTCCATTGATGGTCAATTGGTTTTGACTGGATGCTTTAATTCTATTATGCTATCGAAGAAGGCAACCAACGTGTCAGGCCCAACGGCCATACGTGCTTTCACGTCACCCAATATAAGTTGTCCATGTCTTTGCTCAAGTCATGCTACACATGAGGGGTCGTGTTCAGAGTATATCCCACATGGGGAATGTAAAGCCTTGCTTTACAATATATAATGTTCTAGGCCTATGCACCCTTGACCATTTGGGTTTGGGTTGGTGATCAAGTAATCTTGTTTTTTCTTCTATACGAAATATTCAATTTGATGCAGCTCAGCATAAAAAGTATTCAATTACACACAAATTGTGAAAGTTCTGATTGGTCCATGCCCCAGTTAAAGATGCTAACCATCCTTAGAATCAAAGGACTTTCCTAGATTTCACGGTCATCATCATTTTTTATCATTAATTTTCTCCAAAGAAATACCTAATTTTTTATTTCATCAATTAATCTGTCTTCGTCAGGAGCATTTCTTCTTCCTTTCAACCTGTTTCTGTTACTCTGGGACTTTATTTTTATAGCATCTTTATTTTGTTGCCCCTTTGCTGAACACCTTTATCCTTATGGTAATTTTTTAAGTATCTTATTTTTGGGAAGGAAAAAGGGTCAATGTATTTTAGCTTATGAAATTTGGGAAGTCAATCTTATATCTAGAGTGGTGTATATCTTGACTGATATCTTACTTGTGTTATCTGCTCTTTTGTCTGTATCAGGAAATGGTCACAAAGGAGTACCAAAATTTCAAATTTCAGCAGCCTTATGAGCAAGCTATGTACTACTGCTCATTAATTCTACAGGATCATACTTGTCCATGGATGGAAGAACTTGATGTTCTTCCTCATCTTGAAGTTGAAGATCTTGCTAAGTTTGTTCCCATGATGCTCTCAAGGGCCTTTTTAGAGTGTTACACAGCAGGTTACCATATTTTCTTACCTCAAACAACTTAGGTTATAGCCACTGTTATTTTCATTTTAATTTTCCTTTTCTATTCGTATTCATTCCTAGTTATATGCTTTTGCAGGAAACCTTGAAAGGAATGAAGCTGAGTCCATGATCCAGCATATTGAAGATGTTCTCTTTAAGGGTTCAAACCCTATTTGCCAACCTTTGTTCCCATCCCAGCATTTGACGAATAGAGTTGTGAAGCTTGAAAATGGCAAGAGCTATTTCTACCCTGTGGAGGGTCTCAATCCAAGTGACGAAAATTCTGCCCTTATCCACTATATCCAGGTTTTTAAATTTGTTTACAGTATTAATCAACTAGATTCTATTGGGATAGTTTAGTGTCTGTATGACCTTGCTGGAATCAATAATTATTGCTTCTAGTTTTCTTTCTGTATGGTCTAGTTCGAAATTCACCAAACCTTGTCAGAGTTCCCCCTGAAGTGTTTCAAACCAATAATTTCTTCTCTGTTAACTCATCAAAAAATTGCAGAAAATGTCTTTCTTGAAATTTGAAAAGGCATTGGAGCTGTTTTTACCTTTGACAGATCTGTAGTTTGATCACTGAAATGAACTTTCAGGGTTTTATTCTATCAGGTTACATGCAAATGGGACATTCTGACAACAAAGATTATCCACGATCCTTTGGTTAACTGAATCCCCTTCCTATAGGCCATGTTTCTCTTGGTTATAAGACTTATATTTGGCCTTCCTGTTGAACAGCATAAAATCACCTCACACCAATCTCCCACTCATTTATCTGCAGCAGAGGTTTCTGTGTTTGTTTTAAACGTAGTTGTGTTAATATGTTTAGGTACATCGGGATGATTTTATGCTGAATGTGAAACTTCAGCTGTTTGCTCTTACTGCAAAGCAACCTGCCTTCCACCAACTTAGATCAGTTGAGCAACTTGGTTACATCACCGCCCTCTTGCAGAGGCATGAAACAAATTCAAATGACTTATCCCTCAATTTCATGCCTCATGTTGTGATTTTTTTTTCTCAATTACCTTCCCATTCTTTTCTGATGCAGGAATTATTGTGGTATCCGTGGGGCACAGTTTATTATACAATCCACAGTGAAGGTATATTACATGCTTCTACTGTTGCCTTGTTGCCTTATCTACGTATTCTAATTATGTTATGTTGATCTACAGAATCCAGCACATATTGATTTGAGAGCAGAGGAATTCCTCAAGGCGTTCGAGAGTAAACTTTATGAGATGACAAATGAAGAATTCAAGGTGAGATCAACTAGGCTCTATCCTTAATTCCAGCTTGCTAGGGTTGACTACATCTTTTATGCTGCTATAATCTCTTTTGTATGTAAAATCGTCAGAGTTAAAACTTCCAGTGACCTTACATTAGTCTTTCTTCCTTGTTTATCATCCTCACATATAGATGGTAGTCTTTCAGTGCCAATGTTCAATCACTTCTATATAAATTTTATTGGAGTTATTTACACTGACACCCCCTCAGGTTTTAGCTTTTTCAGAAAACCCCCTGAGGTTTGGGAAATTACACAAACACCCCCTGATGTTTTAGATTGTTTGCATGAGACCCCTTTTCGTTGATTTTTCCTGCAAAGAAAACATTGCACGTCCTCAAAACATCCACCAGCATCATCATTTGCCTTCCATTGGTCTTTCTTGCGATGTTTTGTATCCTCATGTATGGATGGTAGATGTGTTTCAATGTCAGTGTTCTTCACTTCTAGATAAAGTTATATGTGAACCTATAAAAAAAAATATATATATATATATATATAAAAGGGAAGATTTTACGATCTGCAATGTGACATATATGATTTTGAGAATAGTCGTAAAACTTCGATGAGAGTTTACCGGTCTTGAAAGGATCAACTCTTTTTCCCAATAATAACTTTTGAACTGATTGTTACCTAGAGCAATGTAAATGCGTTGATCGACATGAAGCTTGAGAAGCACAAGAACTTAAGGGAAGAAGCGGCATTTTATTGGAGGGAGATTTCTGTTGGGACCCTCAAGTTTGACAGGATAGAATCTGAGGTATGAACATCACTCTAACTTTATTTGCATGTCTGCAATGCAAAATGTTCATTACATTTTATCTTTTTGAGTACAAATGAATTCGGAAAGAACCTGAAGAAAAATGTCCTTATCAGGGCATGTCATCTTAAGTCGAATAGTTCTATGTAGATGAAAATATTTCGTAAAGTAATATTACGAACTTGTTAGCAGAAAAAGGTAATGTAAAAGCTGATAATTGTAAAGTAATATTACGAACTGTTGGAATATACTTAAAAAGAAAATGCGTCCTCTATTAATGATGAGTTTGAAACAGATTGCTGCACTGAGGCAGCTTACACAACAAGAGCTGATAGATTTTTTCAATGAGCGTATAAAAGTTGGGGCACCTCATAAGCGGACTTTAAGTGTACGAGTGTATGGGAACTCACATTCAGCTGAGTATAAAATAGACAAAAGTTCACCAGCGCAAGCTTCCTCCGTCAAAATCGACGATATATTCAGCTTCAGAAGGTCACAACCGCTTTATGGTTCATTCAAGGGAAATCATGTGAAGTTGTAGAGAATTCAGAGTACGATATTTCATGATTTCACCTGGAATTTCATGATTTCACCTGGAAAACTTTGTAGCAAATGGAATCTCGCTTGCAGACAGCAGATTCGGCAACAAACGGCACTGAGAAAGTCACCAAGAAAGTTCATTGGCAAAGCAAGTCTATAAGATCAAATGTTATTTTTCACAGGGCACCGTCTTGAATTCCATCTATGCCGTATATTGCCCTTGTCAAAACAATGTTTTATTTGTGTAATCTATTTAGAGCTACCAATGAATTATCAGTAATTCAAATAAGAGATTTAGAATGTGCCTTTGGGTTCGGTTCAGCTCTGAGGCATTTGGTTCAACTTATTTGTCATATACTATACATTGTAATCTATGTAATGAACTACGGAGCATTTTAAAATTAAAATAATTTATAAGTCCGTCGTGAAGGTATAACCTATATAAAGAAAAATGATTCCAAATAAATAATTTGAAAGAAAAGGCTGCAATAAATAACATGGCAAGGGATTTTTGTTCAAAATTTTTGGCAACACAAACGGATCATATATTAAGATTAGTCAAGTAATGTTCTTGCCCTTGATATTTCGGTAGAACAATTAAGTTGTAAATGAATTTCTTTTTCTTCTAAATTTTGTGATTATATATAAGTTTACTTTTCTTTTTCTTAATACAGAAACTAGTTTTCTATTTGTTAGAAATAAAAACAAATACAAGGTGTAAACGCAAACATTGAGTGATACTTGTATTAACTAGTTCTTGGTTTAATGATATTTATCGTTGCAATGTTGGAAACCCAACGTATTTATTTCGTCAAAATGACGTTGAGGCATAGATTATATTTTAAGCTCTAGTGGTAGAGCATTTTATTCTCCAAGCAAGAATTCAACTCATATCATCCCCTCCTTTTAAAGAAATAAAACCCAAGTCATAGAAGGAAAAAAAAATCCTTTTATAAAATAACCAAGAATCAAGTGATGATGAGAAGCCAATTACCATTAAAAGAATTCTTTTCAACACAAATCCAAGATGGATTCAATTCAAGTTTAAATTCTATGAGAAGATTATAAATTTGTGGAAAGAAAAAAAAAATCTCCATTATATGTGGACACAAATTAAGGTAATTTCCTTCCTTTCTCACAAAACAGAATACAAAAAAGCCTCATTGGTGTTGGCCTCCATAGCTGCTGCCTTGACACCACAACTGGTGAAGATGCCATCAAATTGAGCATGGCTGCCATTGGTGGGCTTCTGGGCTTGGTCAAAGTAGTGATGATGATGCTGATCTTCAGAACCGGATGGAGGATGGTAATACAAGCGTCCAGTTTGTGGGCAGTGAGAATGAAATCTTGCTGCTATTCTCACCCCTGTATCTAATAATTCCACCCACTTTCCCATCTTTATATTTTTTTTTGTATTTCTCTCTCAATCTTTATGTTGCTCTCTGTTGCTTTCTGTTCTTCCCAAGAGAGAGAGAGAGGGAGGGAAGGAGAGCGAGCAGAGAACACAATACAAAGCTGAGAAATAGAATTTTGCTTCTTGTGAGGAAGGAAGGGACGCTTGGTCCTTTTTATAGCCTTGCCTATGTTCTTGGTTGGTTCCTCTATTTATTATGGTTTTTTACATTTAAGGGCCTATCTTTTCTATGCAATTATTGTGGTACCCTTTTGTTTTTCATTTTTTCTCTTTTTATACCCAAAGCTTCAAGGATCATTTTACTCATTCTTTTTTTATTGCACATTTTACTCATTCTTTAAGACAAGTGGTCAAGTGCTATATTTAAAAAAATTAAAACAAACTCATTCAACAACCAACAATTGTGGGGTAGGAAATCAAATTCTAAGATTTTAACAAAATTTAAAAATAAACAATATGTTTTTATTTTTTGCATGGAAGCATTTCTTGTAATGAACTATTATTATGAGTATGACCCTCACTAATGGTCCTATTGATAGCAGCCCGATCCAATACTCCTTGTAACTTTCTTTATATTCTCTTTTTCTAAAATGGAGAAGACACATGTAGTGTTCTTCTTAGATTTAATTTTCATATAAGTTAGTAATACTGTACATTCCGAATGTATTTAGTTTGAGAGTTTTGGCCATTTTGGGATCAGGATTGAAGAATTGCTTATTTTAGTTTCTCCTTATCAGCTTTATTTTCCTTTCTAGTCTTTGGCACGTATCAAGAGGTAATTGACCCTAGTTTAGATGTACCCTTCACCATGAGCCTTGGTTTAATAATATTAAAAAATAATAATAATAATTAAATTAAATTAAATTTAAAAAAAAAGTTAATATGGGCTCAGACTCACAAGCTCCACATGTAAGTTTTTAGACATTAAATAATTGAGGTCTTTTTTTAATTGTAATTAATTTGTATGTGATGACAAGAAATAAGAAGAGTATGGTTCAGTATTGTAGGCCAAATTCAAATACAAGGGAGAATTGAATGACTAAAATGAAAATATACCAGAATACAAGTCCTGTACTGCAAGCATTCTTTTGTAGGCCATGATTTGACTCATTCATTTTATATGTTATTTTATTATTATTTTTGTGGTTGCAATGTAGTCCAAGGAGTACTGCGTCAGTCTTTGCAGCTACGCGTTGAATATTCGCATTCTAGTCGTTATGGTTTTTTTTTTAAAAAAAAATTTAACTAGAAGACTCGAATTTAGGACCACCCTTAATGTCAAAGCCACTTTATGCCAATGTCAATTGTCGCTTAAGCCAAGCGAAAGGTCCTGGAACTTATTTATTCCCAATCAGGACGGAGTCAGGATTTTAAATTAAGGTGGTCTAAATTTATCTTATATACAAATTTATTAAGAATATAAATGCGTGCAATGATGGATTCATGAATATTTGTTCAAAAATATAAGGTTAAATAATTTTTTTCTTTAACAGATTAAAATAAAGTAATTTAGTTATAACTAAAAATACAGTAGAATAGGGAGCTTATTACAAGCTAGAAGCTTGGTAAAGGTTTGTAGCTATTGCTTCATGGAACTTGGGTTTGTAGTGAGAAGGAAATTAATTAATAAAAACAAAAGAGTTGGCTAGGTTGGGTTTCATGAATAAAATTTTTTGGGTGAAATAGGGGAATTGACCCCTAAACACACAAAAACTAAATGACGGAGACAATACGAGTTCTAGGAATTCTTATCAAATCATAATCAAAGGTAGCATCAACCCAGCTAAGAATCTCATCAAGCACCACAAACCCCAAATCAAAATTATAGCTCCCCTTTACTAAACAGTCAGCCACCCTGTTTTTCTCCATGTAGATGTGGTTAATCACACAATTACCCACTTGTCACATAAGAGCGTAGCAATTGGACAACAAAGATGCCATTGGGTTTCACAAATTTAATCAAAATGATACCGTGTGTATTAAATATCCCTCTTACCAAACTTACTGTTTCATTGAGGAAAAAAACAAATAAACAAAACTTTCAAATTAAAAGTTAAAAGTCAAATAGGTGGCGTGTGTTCTCATCTTTTTCCTACAAAATGCATCTAAGGGTTACACCTCTACAAACCTTCATTGGAGTGGAGTATTTCACCAAGCATGTGGTGGGCGGGGAATGTTATGTTAGACTGAAAAAGAAAAAGTCACCTGGGCTATAGTTCAGGTTAGCCATATGTACGGTCCGTCTTTATTCCCAGTTGTAGAGAATTTATGTTTAGGGGAAAAAAAGTGATGTTATTTGTATCATATTTATATATGTTAATAATTAATCGCAATTTGTGAAGTAAAATAAATCAAGGTTCGTTTGCCTAAAAATATTTAAAAGAAATGAATTTTATAATGTCATCTAAATCCTTATATATATGAAATGTGTACCTTCATCCAAATGGGCCCAAAAGAAGAGCATTTTCATAAGAATATTATTATTATGTAGATGGGTTCTTTGAACAAAATGGGTTGGTTAAAAACTTATTGTATATACATAAGAACAAAAGCTATTGCTTAAATCGCCCTTTGATTCTTTGCTTACGTATTAGGTTTCGTTAAAAGCCAAAGTTGAGGTTGGCCATTCACAAATCACAATGGACAAATGCCAAATTGCCAGGGTTTTATACTTTCCTAAAAGAACATTCCATTGGTAATTGCTATAACTAACTAATTAACCTTTAGTAAAAGTAAAACTCTGCGGTAATTTTAGGTAAAAGAAGCCGCCTTTCCCTCTAGACTTCAGGTTAAGTGCTGCATGCTGCTATACAGTACTGAAGAATACGTGTAATTATTAACTGCATGCCGTACAATTCACACTTACAATATCGTATCATTCCATATTAATTCTATATTATATAGACCATATATATATTTATATATTTTTTGGTATATATATATATATCCCAATATTTAGCTACCCATCATAACAAAATTTCCCCAACCCAACCAAGGGAGTGGATCCAAGATAGCTAAAACGGGTCGTAAAGATGACCCATGCCATGCTTAATCGGGTTCCCTTTAGCTTACCTCTTCTCACGCTATCTGCGAGTCAAGAAGAAGCAAAAGATTAATAGAGAGTTTAAAGAAAAACAAGTATTAATATAAGAATATGATCACACAAGCATAGATAGTTATTTTTGCATTTTTAATATATATTTATAAGCAACTTTAATATATAAATATATATATACCGTGTAAATATAAGGGTTGTAACGGCCTCCAATGCCTGACCTTTTGACCTTCTCAAGCTTCAACAACCTGCATGCACAGAAACACACAATACCCATTTACATCTCGCCACGTCAGAACATTCTTGCCACGTAAGGCAAAGGGTTTTGTTCTAAAAATTAACTAAAACATAACAGAAGTTCAGATCCGACGGTTAAGACGTTCTCATCACACTAATTTATCGTGCACCCGATCACATCCACATGCATAACACACACACCAAGGGCCACGTGTCAAATTGAGGGATCGAGAGAGAGAGAGAACTAACATTCTGAGTGCTTTGCTAGTGTCAGGACTGTCACCGATGGTCTGACGAATCTTAACTTCAGAAAAGCAGCAGCCACCGGACAAGAGCTTCAGAATTGCCTCAGCTTTGCGGCGCATGTGAGCCGAGAAGCTCAGTCGCTTCCTCTTCATCGGCTCCTCCCTCACCATAGAAAGCTTAGTGGCACCAAGATAATTCCAAGCTGACCATGACGCGTGTCGGCTTCGGCTTCGGCTTCGCGCGCTTGAAGCCGCACTGGAGCTGGTAGACACGCACGAAGACTCCGTCGTGGTCTCAGATCGGAACGACGCCGTCGCCGACGATCCAGAGACGGTCTTCCAGCTTGTTTGCGTCTTGGAGCGACTTCTCCGCACACCCTAATTCAGAGAAAATTCAAATTATTACTTGAAGAAGAAGAAAATGCTCATAATTGAATCGAATCGATGAAATCGAATCGCTCAATCACTGATTTGGAAAGCAAAAATTTTAGAAAGAAGGATCTTTTAGATTTATATTGGAAAACACATTAAAGCAACAAAAATGAACCGAAACTTCCATGAAAATCGTACAAACTCAGCCAAACAGCAAGTGAGAATGCCAAAAATCGAAGAGAAACAGAGAGAGAGAAGCTCAGATTCAGCTTAATTACATATCAGCTTGAACTTTGTTTCGGGAAACGATTAAAGTAACCAAAGGAAATTAAAAACACAGTTCGGATTCAGATATATAAGATAAAAATTCAGCCAAACAGAAAAGTTAAGAACGAGACCAGATTAATCGAGCAAATTGCTTCTGAGCTTGTAAAAGATTCAATCGGATTATGCAGAAATTTCAGCCAAACAGAGCTTAGAATGCAAAGAGAAAAAGAAGGAAAAACAGAGAGAGAAGCTCCGATTGAGCTTCATCTTCATCACATGACGAAGAGAAAAACTGAAGAAAAGCAAATATTTCACTAATAAGCGAACAGATTAAAGCAAAATAATAAGAGAAAAATCATCGCTCCATCTTCCGTTTGGAAAACGATTAAAGGGACGAAGCGAACTCAGAATTCACAGTTCGAATTCAGAGTTGTGAAAATCAACCAAACAGCAAGTAAAATTTAAAAATAGATGAGAAACAGAGAGAGAGAGAGAGAAGCTCGATCACCTTGAGGTTCATCTCACGACGAAGAGCCGCAAGCGCTACGATTCTGATCTTACGAGCTCGAATCTCCTCCGTGGAAACCTCGCATGTGGTGATCAACGACGAGAGCGACTTATTGGAATCCCCAGAAACCGAGCTCTCTCTGCAATTCTCGATCTTGCTTCGCTCCCTCACCAACACGCGATCGTCGTCCAAACAGAGCCTGCAAGCAAAAATGCGTCAGAAAATTGAAGAACGATCGAAGCACGATCGAAGCGATCGAAACGCAAATCCAAATTGAAATTTAAGTTTTGGTTTACTTCGGAGGTGTGGTGGCCAGGACGAGCAAAGCCGAAGCAACTACGCGTTCAAGTGGAGATGGAAACGGAGCCATTACTCTCTGTCTCTCTCTGTCTCTGTCTCTCTCTCTCTGTTCTCAGTTTTCGAAAACTGGCGGTTCCTTGCCTATTATTTGAAAATCTCTCTCTCTAAACCGTTTTCATTTTTTATATTCTTATTACTTTTTTAATTTTTAGTTATAGCTCTTTAAACCCGCTGTGGTCACGTGGAATGGCGGGCGCTGCGTTGGGTAGTGGGCTAGCTTGCTAATTCCACTGTTTATTGGGCTATCGATTCATTGGGCTGATATGAATGTAAACTGGGCTCTGGAGTTTTGCGCTGCCATGCATGAGACCCTCATAGACGGTTCTAGAAGCGAAACCTGGGAGGAATCGAATGTATCACTCCGGAAAGTGGTGAATTCTCTTAACATCTTGAGTTACAAGTTTGTTGCATACCAATAGGAGGTTTGAGATGTTCAAAAGCGGATCAAAAGTGGATTTTGGGGCCAAAAAAAGGGTATGGGCATTGAAAAATTTTCTCTTTACATTTCTACCTTAGACCCATCATCTTCTCTTACTCCCAAATACAGGTGAAAGTTAGGTTGAAAATTCTGATTCGAAAATTCCTAATTATGGAAATTTCAAATCAATTCTGACGTCCGAAAGTTCAGAAATTTGAAAATTCCAAAAAAAAAGTTGGATTGGAATTAGAATGTATCTCAAGATTTCGAAAATTCCGCATTCTGAAATATATTGGGGTTTCGAGGTTAGACTACATGCAATGACTAATTTCATGTTGAGATACACATGATTTAATGACCAAATACACATAGACAAGTTGTTCTTTAAAATTGTTCTTGTCTGACAAAAAAAAAAAAAAAAAAAAAAAAAATAATATTATTTTTAAATAATTAATCTTGTGATGAGAAATTGGAATCCCTTGGAATTCCTATCCCGTTCCTTCCGTTCCGAAAATCAAGCATACTCCCAAACCTCTAAATCACTACACACCAACATTCATCACCTTCTCTCATTATCCAAACCCTAACTAATATGCATTGTGTTTTTCTTGATCAATGGAGCATCAATTTGTTGTGTATGAAGATTTGAGGAGGAAAAAAAACTGTGTTCATTCTTTTGCATTGTATTTGTTATAAGCTCAAATTTTAGAGCTGAGCCGATCCAATTTTGAAATCTAGGCGAATATTAGCTTTACTTTAGATCTACGGTGTAATTGGTTTGATTTTGCTCTCCCCAACAATTATGTATTCAATCTTAGATGATCTCTTGGGTTGTTCTAGGCCTAGAGCTATTCATGTAAAGTAAATGTTATTTTATTAACAAAAGATGGGAGATTTGAAAGTATACATGGCAAACGAGTCGTGTTTTGTGGTGTTCATGTCTAGCCGCCTTCTTAACGTATTGACACATATACGACCCGTTAAGTTAACGGTGGAAACTATCACACAAGAACACGACCCTTTAAAATAATGAATGACACAACATGACCCGTTTAAACTTAAATGATCCGTTTAACCCGTTTAGAACATCAATTATATTTCTTATAACAAATTGTTAAATAAAAACACCTCATATTAGACAATAATAAAAATGAAGTTTAAATATTTAAATAAAATATCTTTAAACAATACATCCAGAGAGCTAAAAAATGATCATTCACCAAAGTTCCAAATATAAGATAGAATTGTTGATAAAATGTCTTAATAGGTGATTACGGTTATCTCTAAACGGACACCAAAACGACCAATTAGCTTAACGAGTAGCTAACAAGTCCACCCATTTTTAATACAACTCAATAAATCCAGCTTAAATACTGATTTTTTTTTTCTTTTTACGAATTTGTTTCGTATTAATAGACCGTGTACAATATTCCCACCTCTATTCGAAAGCATGATTTAAAAATTAGGATCATTTTGGTATTCTGAAGAGACAAGGTTGTCATAAATAGATGGAAAATTTGAGCTGACAATTATTGCCTTCAAATAATACTTAAAAGTGGCACAAATCGTCATTATCATATAATAATGAAATAGGCAGAGTAATAAAGACTCAATCAGTCCAATTCTACCATAAAATTGCAGACTGGCAAATCGAGAAGAACCAACTAACAAGTACAGAATACAGAACACAATCGATTTCATATAAAGAAAAAAAAAAGAAGAAGCATAAAATAGAAGAAGAAGACAGAGACCCCACCAAACTGCAACAAGAGAGCAGCAGCAGTTATATAATTCAAGACTTGAAATCTAAGAAAGAAACACCAACCATCACAAGTTCAAAACTTTCTCTTTACCCTAACTGTCGGCAGCGCAACCACTTGACAGAGAAAGCAAGGCAGCTCACAACTTGCTCAAATCACACGCAGTGGCAGCTCACATAACAAAACTTCTTCTTCTTCTTCTTGTACGGTGCAAAAGTACTGCGAATGAACGTTTGTTGAAGGAGCTCAACAGTGAAGCTCCTCTGATAACTCACAATCAGCTCTGACTCTGAGTCAAGGCATTTCAGACTAAGAGAAAAATTTGGGACTTTGGGAATTTGGGTTTTGAAATTTTCTTCAATGTTGGTCCAAGACCGTCCAGGACCCAAATCACCGAAGCACGCTCACTCTTCTCAGATCAGAGCCTCACTCTCTTTCGCTCCAAATCTCGATTTCTCCACATGGGTCTCCGAGAATCTATACAAGATCGTCACCGTCGTGCTTCTCATAGCCACAGTCGCCGTCCTCTTCGTGCTTCGAAACATCGGAGACACCGCTGCTTTGCTCTGCTTCGAAACCCAAGCCCAGGCTCTCGAGAAGATTCGATTGCCGCAGCTCGAATCGAATATCAAGCCCATCTCCGACACGTCGTCTCCCTACGCGAGTTTCCGATCTGAGAAGTGGATTGTCGTTTCAGTCTCTAATTACCCAACTGACTCGCTCAGAAAGCTTGTGAAGCTCAAAGGGTGGCAGGTCTTGGCAATTGGGAACTCGAAAACGCCGTCGGATTGGAGCCTCAAAGGTTCTATCTTTCTGTCCCTTGAACAACAAGCTCAATTGGGTTTTAGAGTTTTGGATTATTTGCCTTATGATTCGTATGTTAGGAAGAGTGTGGGTTACTTGTTTGCGATCCAACATGGCGCGAAGAAGATCTTCGACGCTGATGATCGCGGGGAGGTGATTGATGATGACTTGGGAAAACATTTTGATTTAGAATTGACGGGAGAGGGTGCTAGGCAAGAGATTATATTGCAATATAGCCATGAGAATCCTAATAGAACCATTGTGAACCCATACATTCATTTTGGGCAACGCTCAGTTTGGCCGAGAGGTTTGCCATTGGAAAATGTTGGTGAACTTGGCCATGAAGATTTCTACACTGAGATTTTTGGAGGAAAGCAGTTTATACAACAGGGCATATCAAATGGACTTCCTGATGTCGATTCTGTGTTTTATTTTACACGAAAATCGAGTTTGGAAGCCTTTGATATAAGGTTTGATGACCATGCCCCGAAAGTGGCGTTGCCGCAGGGTACGATGGTTCCTGTTAATTCTTTCAATACAATTTACCATGTATCGGCGTTTTGGGGTTTGATGCTTCCTGTTTCAGTTAGCACGATGGCTTCTGACGTATTGAGGGGATATTGGGGGCAGAGGCTTTTGTGGGAAATAGGTGGATTTGTTGTAGTTTATCCCCCAACTGTTCATAGGTATGATAGAATTCAGGCGTACCCATTTTCTGAAGAGAAAGATCTTCATGTCAATGTGGGACGTTTGATCAAATTTTTGGTTTCATGGAGATCAAGTAAGCATAGGCTGTTTGAAAAGATTTTGGAGTTAAGTTTCGCTATGACAGAAGAGGGGTTTTGGACTGAGAAGGATCTGAAGTTTACTGCTGCGTGGCTTCAGGACTTGATTGCGGTTGGGTACCAGCAGCCTAGATTAATGTCATTGGAATTGGATCGGCCACGGGCAAATATTGGTCATGGGGATACAAAAGAGTTTATCCCGCAAAAGTTTCCATCTGTTCATCTTGGAGTTGAGGAAACAGGGACAGTGAACTATGAAATTGGAAATTTGATTAGGTGGAGGAAGAATTTTGGGAATGTTGTGCTTATCATGTTTTGCAGTGGACCGGTGGAACGTACTGCTCTGGAATGGAGATTGCTCTATGGGCGGATATTTAAGACTGTGATCATTTTGTCAGAGCTAAAGAACCCTGACCTTGCTGTTGAAGAAGGCCAATTGGATTATGTATACAAGTAAGTCGCTTTTCTCATGAATCTGTACCTCTTTTATTCAATTACTTTGTTGGCTCTGCCATCTTGTTAAATTTTTTAGTTCTATCCTTCTGAGTAGCCGTAAGGGTTAAGAAGATAGGGAATGCTGTGCTATAATATTCAATTGAAACCTTGTTTCTTTATTTAAAAACATTAATCGAGGAGTTAGGTTAGATACAAGTTTGGGGCTACTGTTCTCATATTCAAGACCTAGCAGGAGAGGTTTTTGTCACCAAGGAGCAGATGTCATTCCAAGCTCTGTTCCTTTCTTGAAGGCTCAGGCCGCAATTATTTATTTCCTGGGAAAATATATGCAATCAGTGATCCTTCAGAATATTCGCTAGCTTGTTTCCAGAAATTAAGAATTTAATCATGCATCTTCCTGATTGTGTTCCTCACAGCGTTTAAAGTTTAGTATTGGTTATACAAAGTACCCTGCGACTGTCAGAAAAGATTTTAATTTTAGAAGAGCATTGTTGTTTTCCTTCTTTTCTCGGTTTTGTGAGTTGGTGCCTTGTGGTATGCATTATGTGCTAGTTAGGTTTATGAAATTTATGTTAAATGAGATGAGTGAACTGAACAGCTTCAGAAGCAGGCTCTGTAATCCCCAAGTCTGTTTTAGACTGTCGAATCTATGCGTAGCCCTAGGAATGTGAATACTGTTGATTGCTTCTTTCAAAAGCAAGTTTCGGCAGTTGCGTTGTCAATTTTAATTTTTCTTGGGCATTCATTGTTATCGCTCATAATTATGGCAGACAATGGTTGTATGTGAAATCCTAACTGCTTTACTTGCATTTTGGTTGAAAGCCTGTGTTGGAATGAGTTAAGATGGGCCATCAGTAGTTTTCTAATTGCGCTTTTCAATGTTTCTTTGCAGGTACCTGCCCAAAATATTTGATCGATATTCCGGTGCGGATGGATTTTTATTCCTTCAGGACAATACTATTCTTAATTACTGGAATCTTCTACAAGCAGACAAAACTAAATTGTGGATTACAAATGAGGTATGACTTCTAATACCCCATTTCTTTAAGATTAATGTTTCTATGGCATTTTAAAACTAGTTATCGTTGTTGCTAATACACACGTAGATACCTTCCGAATCACTTTACCTAGAAGGAAAGCAAAATACAAAATTGATAATATAGTGCCTTCTTTTTCAAGAGCTGATTGGTTGACATTTAAATTATTGTAATGTCTCTTTTTCTCTTACAATTTCAATCTGATTCAGGTATCCAAGTCTTGGACTACTGTTTCCACAAAAGACAACTCGGATTGGTTTTCAAAGCAAGCAGGCATGGTGAAGAAGGTTGTTAGCATGATGCCAGTTCACTTCCAAGTCAGTTACAAGAACTCTGTAACTAGTGGCAAGAGCATCACGGTATGTAGTTCTGAGGTATTCTACATACCTCGTCGGTTTGTAGCTGACTTCACCGACCTTTTTAATCTAGTTGGAAATCTAGAAATTCATCACAAGGTTGCCATTCCAATGTTCTTTCTAGCAATAGATTCACCTCAGAATTTTGACTCAGTGTTTAGTACAATGATCTATGAAGAACAACCACCTTCTACCAATTCTTCATCCCTTTATTCAGCTAAAGTACCTGCCGTTCATCCGTGGAATGTGTCAAGCGAACAAGATTTCATAAAACTAATAAGAACAATGGCAGAAGGTGACCCTCTCTTAATGGAGTTAGTTTGAAGGTAAATTTCTGTCTTTTGATACTGAAAATACCAAGAAAGGGGAGTAAGAAGGAAACGTTGTACCACTTTGTTAACTGTCATACAGAACTCTCTTTTTCTTCTTCTTTTTTTCTTTTTTGAGGGAGGGCATCTTTTTTCCATTTTTTTTTAATTTTAATTTTTTGGTTTCTTTTTCTGTAGGTTTATATTTTACCATTCATTACTGATTGAAGATGCCCTCGCAAAAGATGTATTCATCTATCTCTTTTTGATCATGAATATATGAAAGGCAGAATTGTGTATTCAATAATCCAAGTTGGACTTGTAGATTGATTCAAATTCTCGCAATTCGCACATTTGGATTATTGTTAGAATGTCGATCAAACGAAATACTGACTTAAAAAATATTGAAGTTACTGAAACAAGAGGTAACTCATACCTAATGGGAGTTTAGTATTCTATTCAAGTAGGGAACTCAAAAATTTCGACTTTCTTAAAAACAAGGAATTTTTAAATCCATTTTTTAAGATTCAAAAACATCTTTGGTATGTAACTTGAAAATTGTTTCAAAATATTAAAATTTTGAAAACTTGTTTGGTTTAATTCTTGACAATAATGTTATTTAAAATTAAGATATTAATAAAAATTATTAAACTTATATTAAACATACTATTTTAACACCCATGCTTTAATAATCGCCAAGCTCAATTGATCTTCAAGTCCTAAATAATACATATTAAATTAAAACATTCTAAACTAAATAAATTCTAAAACTAATAATTCACAATCTCATTCACTTTAGGGTTTTGAGCCACACTCTTCTCCTGGAATCCGACATCTTCACGAACATCCTCCTCCAATCTGAACTAGTAAACTTATCCAAAGCTTTCACATAAGCATCATCATTCACTCCCTCCATGGCCTCCAATATTTCCATACAATCCTCAATGGAGCCCAATTCTTTATATGGAAAGGCCACTTCCTTTTCACTCTTACGCGTAAGCTTTGCCAATGAAACTTCAATCTTGCTATTAAGAGACTTTGCCCAAGCTTCAATGGTTTCATCAATTTTGGTTGATTTAGATGACTTTAACCTTGAGGGAAGATCACTCTGGGGAAATAGAGCAGCACGCTTGTTCTTGTTGCTAGTTCCTTCATCTCCCTCACTAAAACCTCTTGAACCACTTTCTGGATTAAGACCTACATGTGCACCATTGGTAAGAAAATCATTTTCTAGCTCTCTTTCAGCATCAGAATCTGGAGGAGAATGAGTAGATGCGCATTGCATTTGTCCAGAGGCAGTGGTGTAGTTGAAAATCAAACCAAGCAAATCATAGTGAGGACATCCTTTGCTACGAAAACGGCTTGCAAACTTGTTTTTCTGTAAAATTAATACAAGATAGATTAAAAAATGCACATATATTGTAGCATACCAAAACAAGACAAATTATACAAGATGATGCATACCTTGAGATAGGATGCCCAAATTTCTTCCGATGCTTGAACGGTGTTCGTGTTTGGGTCCCAACCCATCCCGGTATGAGAAATGAGCTTTGTAAACTCACGGTGAATCTTGCGCAATCGGTTATATTTCTGCCTCAATTTGTCACGACTGTATCTCTTCCCAAACTTGTCAAACAACTGCTTTTCTATACCAGCCCACTCAGTCTTATCTAAATTATTGGTTTGCAAGCCTTTTTTTGCCTCTTCATACAGTAGATGAATAAAATGGTCTTCAATGGGCTTTGGCCAATAAGCTTTATCATCAAACTCATTTTCAAGGTCCTTGTTTGACATCTCTCTACTATGTACTAAAACAATGTAAAAAGACAGACATCACAATAAACACATGGCAAGCATAAGGCCAATTCAGACAGCAAAAGCCACCATAGTCCAAGTTTTAAGTTCACAATGCTTTTAGGAGTCAAAATCAAGAGTATTGTTTTCCAAAGTCCAAAACAGAAAACATAGAAATGAACCATTACACTGATAGTCATAAAATTAAAAGAACATCAAGATGAAACTCATACAAAATATTATACCAAAAATGGAAAAGTAAATTTATCACCAATGAAAGGTTGTAACAAACACAACAAGTATGAAGAGTTAGGAGCATTGAATACTTACTAAGGTCTAAGAACACCAAAGTAGACAGATTTACAAATTTACAAAATCATTGCCTCTTATATCCAAGACAAAAATACTCATAAAGGCAGATTTCAGTGCCCACATAAGATGACTCATAATCAAAATTAGAAACAATACAAACACATAAAAGAGAGAGAGAGAGGACTTACTAGGCACACTCAGCAAGTTTTCCAAGTTTTTGATTATCCAATATTGCCAGAGTCAACTATTTGTTCTCATCAAGGTACTGCAAAATAAATTAAGAAAAAAGACATTAACATTAGATTTATTTTAACTCCCACATATCACTTATCATCTGAGACATATTGGAACTTCTTCCCTAAAAATTGTCACAAAACCAATTCCTCAGTTTCATATTCAAACTCATTTTTCATTAATTTCAGTGAGATTTCCAAACTGATACTGAAAAGAAAGCAATTCCTATCCAACTAGGGCATATTTACAGAAGCAAATTTCAGTGAGATTTCACAGAAGACAATATGAGAGCAAAGAATTAGATGTTGTCTGAGCACACATCATAGAAGCAAATTTTGTGTTTTTTTTCTAGGTTACAGTTTAGGTCATGTCAGCTTGACAGTTTTGAGATCTGGTGTTGATCAATATTTTGGATGCTATGCAGGGATTGAACCTTATTCTCAGGCTAGCTTGGTTGCAAACTGCTCTCCATTCAAGTTTTGGACAAGTGGACTACAGAGTAACTGGGCTGTTTTTAGCGGCCCTTGAAGTCATCAGAAGAGGGATGTGGAACTTTTACAGGTAACTACTCAAATCCCAATGATTTTTATTCTTATATCAGTTTACATGTGCAGCCATTGATATGAAACTCAAGTTAGATATACCCCTTTCGTTTCAAGTTCAATTGCTCCAATCTAATGAACAATTTGTTCCAACTGTCCAGGTTAGAGAATGAGCATCTAAAAAATGCAGGAAAGTTTAGAGCAGTTAAAATGTGCCTGGCATTAGTTTGACTGATAGTTCAAAAAGAAGGTTCAAGAAACTCATGACAAAGTATAAAGAAGGCAAAAAAAGGAAATCAAATAAACCTTAAAAAAGATAAATAAGAGGTATCATGTTATCTACCACAATATTTATGGGCAAGTGAGACATTTTAGAAGGGCCAGTTATAGAGAGTGAGGTCATATGTTGGTAAAAAAGAAGGTCAAAAAATCAACCTTAAAAGACTCTTTCCCACCCTTGAAATGATATTAAGTAAAACCAGCCACATTGGAAAAGACTAGAGACCAGTCTTCAAAGGGAATATTTCAAAGCTATGTGCCTACCTCATCACAAAGGCAACGTATCAAAAAATTACAGAGGTATCATTCCAAAACCCTTTATCTGTTAGTTTAGGTTACACACAAGAATTCATATAAATCAAATCGAAAACATAACTCAAATGAAAATTAATCCCCAATCTTCAGTAACAAGGTCAACAAAAGAACTAAAAATTACCCGATTGCAGATATCGGAGATGGAGAGCAACTCAGCTCGCGGTGTGTGACGTTGAGACTTCGACTGACGGAGTCGCAGAGACAAGAGGAGGCCGCGAGAGCAGCCCCCAGATGCCCAGCACTAAAAGTTACTGATGAGATAGAGGGACGAAGAGAGAGAGGGAGAGAGAGGGAGCAAGAGAGGTTCAAGCTTCTGCCATGGAGGCTTGAAAGCTTGGCCCGACCAGAAGAAAAAAATTCTGAAAAAACAGCTATTTTCAAATTACTTTTCGGTGTTTTTGAGTTATTTTTAGGTTTGGGTTTTCAAAAATGGGCCTATTTTTCGGACTTTAAACTCAAATTCTGTTTTTGAGTTTAAAAAGTTGGATTCAAATATAATACCAAACAGCCCCTAATTTTTTAATATAAAAAAACAAACCAGAGATGTAAATTTCAAATGGGGAAATGAGTGAGAATGAGCATTTTCATTCCATAAGTTTCATTCTCTGTCATCAGATTAAGAACCTGAAGCTATTTCATTCCATAAGGATTTCTTTAACCCTCCGTTTGGATGAAGAAATTGAAAATTACATAGAATTCTAAAATGATGGAATTTCGATTTCCATCATTTCAATTTCTGGAAATTGAAGATTTTGGTGTCTGGATTTATGTATGTCGAATTTTGTAAATGACATAATTTTGTAAATGACACTATGGAAATTGTGAAATGACACCTATTTTGATGGAAATTAAATTTGGGAATTTGATGCTCCAATTTCCACGATTTTTTCCTTGCGTCATTTAATAAATTCCACGCTTAAATTTGCCAAACAAGGGAATTGTTATTTTCTCCTCGTAAATTCCCGACTTTTAGTTAAATTCCGAGTTATTTTCCCTCATCCAAACGGAGAATAAGATTAACCTCTTAACACTATTTCTGGCATTCTAACCTTTTTTCTGCTTTGAAATTCCCATCAATTTCAACCATAATGATGATGTTGTTAAGAATGTTTATAAAAGAAGTTGTGAACTGAATACATATATTTATAGGACTTAAAAGTCTGCAAAATAACAGTACAGATACATATCCCTCAAAATGAATTGAACTACATGGGGGAACTGGTTAAGAATTCACATTAGACATTTCCTAAAGGCTTTGCCGAGCTGAAAAAGGGACGGGGGGTAGAGGAGCTCAAGTAAATCATAGTGTTACTGATATTTGCACATTAATTTACAATGTTCTCAACATTGAGTTTGAGTTTACCGATCGATTCCCTCGATCTTGTCTTCAACTTCTGAGTACAACTCCTTCAACTTCTCAATATTCTGCTCATCAGTGTCCCAGTAACCGCGTCCGTTGGCCTCCAGGAATGTCTGTACCAGCTTCCTGAAGGAGTTTGGATTCGTTTTCATCAGCCTGTTCAACATCTCCTCATCTTGAATGAAAGTTGAGTTGGCCTCTTCATACACCCAGTTGTCAACTTGGCCGGAAGTTGCACTCCACCCAACTGTGTTAGTCAGCCTTTTCTCAATTTCACGAACACCCTCGTATCCACTGGATAACATTCCTTCATACCATTTAGGGTTCAACAACTTGGTCCTTGCATCAAGACGCACAGTCTCAGAGAGTGTGCGAACCTGCATTGCAAGATCAGCTTGTTAATTGGGAATTTATTTATTTAGTTTATTCTGATCTTCTTCTGCAATATAAACAATAACATGACACTCCATTCTGAATTTAGTATTGAAATAATAGTACAGTGTGTCTCAATGCTCACCTGGGCATTAGCTGTGGTGGTGTCAGCAATGTAAGCACTTGGTTTCTTTCCATCCTTTCTTAGGTTTTGCACCAGATTGGTTGGATCCGAGTCAAAGTAGTGGCTTACATCAGTAAGTGAGATCTCTGATGAGTCAAGGTTTTGGAATGTCGCATCAGCTGTGCTCAGAGCCATCTCAAAAACTTTTCTATTCTCAGCCATGCCTGTACCAGGGGCATCAGAATCAAAAGCAAAAGATTTTCGGCTTAGATACATGTCTTGCAGCTGCTTCTCATCATTCCATGTGGAGTTCTCCACAGCAAGGTTAATGTTGGAGGAATAGGATCCTGAAGCATTGGAGAAGATCCGAGTTGCAGCTTCACGAACCCCAATCCCAAGGGTTTCTGCTTGTTCCAGTGCATGCTTCCTGATAAAGTTTTGCTCAACTGGCTCATCTAGTTCAGCTACCATCTTCACTGCACGGTCAAGCAGATTCATCTGCAGACAACAAAATTACCATGTAGAAATTGTTAGTAATTAGTTAATACAATTGTCAGTGCCACATTATTGATGCTACTCCATGAAACAGCAATATGCATTTGCGGAATATTTATTTTTCATCAAATAGAGATCTTATGTCACAGTTCGTCAAGCATAGTCCAAGTATTATGTATTTGAAATGAACCAAAACCACGAGGACTGCCAACCTCTTATTACCATAGAAATTCAAAGCCCCTATTACGATATACCTTAAGTCACATAAATAACTAGACAGTGATCCTACCATATAATGTGGGTTGAATTCTTATGTGCTAACATGTATCCAAAAGAAATGGGAAGCATAGAAAAGAACAATACCTGATTGATAAAGAGGTCTCTGAAAACTCCAGAGCAGTTGACAACAACATCAATCCTGGGTCTTCCAAGCTCTTCAAGACTTACTATTTCCACCCGGTTGACTCGTCCAAAAGCATCAGCAACTGGCATTACACCCACCATCCACAAAACCTGAGCCAAGGACTCACCATAAGTCTTAATATTGTCTGTACCCCACAAAACAAGTGCTATTGTCTCAGGATACTTTCCCCCGTTATCAATCTTCTGCCTCTCTATCAACCTCTCCACCACAATTTTTGCACTCTGCATTGCTGCTGTTGTGGGTATAGATTGTGGATCAAGTGCATGAATATTCTTTCCAGTTGGCAACACTTTCGGGTTTCTAATTGGGTCACCACCAGGACCTGGCTCCACATATTTGCCCTCCAATGCTTGTTTCAAACTCCCTATCTCATTGTCAGCCACAATCAGCTTCAAACATTCTCCCAAAAACATAAACAATGTTCTCAGTTTGTCCCTGTCAGCCCTATAAAACTTTGTGTTTGACAAGTACTGAACCCAAGGTTCATTTATACCAAACCCAAGGATTGAGCTCAGTTTATCTTTTACATCAACTACTTGACCCTTCTCATTGGTTGTACGCTCCACAAATGCAGAAATTGCTCCACGTGATGTGTCAGTTATTTGCTTAAGAAGCTCTACATCCTTCAATATCCCTTTATCACTCCCTCTATAAATGTCCTCTATGTCTCTTCCAGCAGTCTCAGCTAATATATCTGGGAGGGAAGTAATCCCTTCTTCTGGACGGTTCAGTGCAGCAATGTTAACAAGAGTTGCAACTGCTTCCATGGCTGTTGGAGGCTCACCAATGACATGAAGCCCACAAGGCAATAGACGGGACTCAATCTCCATGATTTTGTTATACACCTTTCCAACCACAAGATCTCGTTCTTTTGCTGAGATTTCCAGCCCTTCCTCGGGTAGTTCTACGTCCTTGTCAAGATTACATTGCTTAGCTGTGCTGATTATTGAGCTAACAATCTGTGACCCACGGCCTGTGTCTTTAAGGGATTGATAGGAGGAGATAAGCTCACTTAATTGCTTAAGGCCTTTGTAAAGCCCAGCATTTTCTGCAGGAGGAGTCAGATAGCTGATGGTGTTGGCATAGCTCCGACGCTTGGCTATGGTAGCTTCAGATGGGTTATTAGCAGCATAATAATAGACATTGGGGATGTTCCCAATCAGACTGTCTGGGAAACAGGCATCACTCATTCCCACCTGTTTTCCAGGCATGAATTCCAGTGAACCGTGAGTACCAAAATGTAGTACAGCATCAGCTTGGAAAATCTTTTCAACAAATGAATAATATGCTGCGAAGCCGTGATGTGGGCTAGCTGATTTGGAGAACAGTAGCCTCATTGGATCACCCTCGTAGCCAAATGTGGGCTGAACTCCGATGAAGACATTTCCGTACTGTTTCCCATATACTAAGAGATTCTCTCCATCAGAGTTCAGGTTCCCAGGAGGTTTTCCCCAGTTTTCCTCCAATGCAGTAGCATATGGAGTTAGACTTTGATATTCACGGACCCCCATTTTGTAAGCAACATTAAGATTTGGGCTGCTGAATTGAGCCTCTTTGTCATGAATTACATCTTCGATCAAGGCTTCTGAAGTCTCTGGAAGGTTCTCCACATTGTAACCATCTCTTTTGAGTTCTTGCAGAACTGCGAAGATGGAGGAAAAAACATTCAGATAGGCAGCTGTTCCAACATTTCCTTTGTCTGGAGGGAAACTGAAGACTGTAATTGCAAGCTTCTTCTCAGCCTGCATCAGTGCATATACTTGTCATAATGAGATCAGAAAAACTATACAAAATTTATTCAGTGAATAACCATAGAACAAGGACATCATGCCAAAGACAAACATTCTGTTAGTATGAAAAATGGAAGACCCTTTTTGCCACCAGACTCAATCCAAATTAGCACTCCTGTATGCACTACCAGCCAAAGTAAAAGATACCTTGATCTTTGTTATTCTATCTATGATTCTAAGCAAGACTGAAGCATGAGACTGATGGGCCTATTCAAACCGTCTTGGTCATCATTATTAAGAATATATATACCTCTTAAGCAACGACTAAAGCAAAGCATGAAACTCATGTCATATTAAAGTTTGCATGTTTATAAAAATTATTGATACGACCCCTCCGAATCAATCATTACCAGATAACAGGCAGAGAAACAAAGAGTAGGCTTTCTACATATGTATCGTTCAAAACAACGATTTTTATCAGCTTGTAGCAAAGAAACAAACTTCATAAAAGTCGAAAAGTTCTTTTTAGTTTCTTATCATGTGTTTGGAAGCAACTTTAGGTTTAGGAGGAAATAAGAAAGGACCCAAAAGGTAAATACCTTTGCCTTCCTTTTCAATTCACCCCATCTGATTGCCCTGGTGCAAAGCTGTTCTACCCTCTTGTGAAGAGCATGTGATTTCCCTGCAATCACATTACAATATTCAGCAACCCTTAATAAATCTTGACTGCTAGGCTTCACACAAGGAGGAAGATCGAGACAACCAGAATGGAGAAAGAAAGTGGAAGCTAGTAGGAGTATAAATGTCTAAGCAATAAAGTCAGTACATAGTTTTGGTTCACTAATTCAGTTCAAGCACTTGAAGATCAATCTGTTTGGTTAGCATTATTGAATCATTTTCCATTGATTTCCAAAATACAAAAAGGCTTTTATCATTCCGGCTTTCTTCTTAGTAGTCATTCCAAAGTACTAACTGAAGACTAGTTATAAATTATAGGCATGATAAAAGAATAAAGCTTTACCAACCTGTTCTAGGATCCCGGCCTGCGAAAACAATGGGCTCCATGCCTCCATCTAGCTCTGGGAGAGCCACTTGCAATGCTACCTGAATTGGGTGCAGCCCCAAAGTGCTATTTAACCACTCCTCAGTTGTCTGGAATACCAAAGGCAATGCGACAATGTATGGAACGTCAAGCTTCATCAGAGCCTCAACAGCCCGTGGATGATCCTGTCTAGCTGGCCCCCCAACAAGAGCAAAACCAGTAAGAGATATAGCAGAATGGATAAACGGTTTCTTAGTAACTGGATCAATCAGAAACCTCTCAACTGGCCCTGAAAAGTCAAGCCCACCAGCAAAAATTGGTATCACCTTAGCCCCTCTTGCCTCCAATTCCATGATCACAGCCACATAGTGACTTTCATCCCCAGTAACAATGTGACTCCTCTGCAAAATCAACCCGACTATTGGTGCATTGGGGCTCTTAAGCTTCTCATTAGCATCCTTCCTAGTTCCATACCAATTCAAGTACTCCTTCACATCATCATACATACAAGGGGCTAAAGGGTGCCAAATTCCACTATCCAAGAACAGAACTGGGTCTGAATATGGAATCTTTTCGCCTTTCAGAGCAGGAACATAAGAACCAGATATCATTTTCAAGAAATTCTGCAAGTTATCTGGTGACCCACCTAGCCAAAACTGCAAACTGAGAATATAAAGTCTAGCATCCTGAGCTTTATCACTAGGCAAGTATTTCAACACCTTAGGCAAAGTCCTCACAAGCTTGAGCATACTGTCAGCAAAGCCAGCAGACTGCTTCTTCCTCTTGAAAAGTTGGAAAAATGGGCTCTTGGATTGCCCAAGCTGGGACATGCTGAAAGAACCCAACTTGTTGAGCCTCATCACTTCAGGCATTGAAGGAAACACCAAAACTGCATCAAGCCTGTCCCTTTCTTTCTCCACAGCATCCCTCACCTTCACGGCAAGCTCCTCAACAAAAATCAAAGACCCAATGAAGATGTTGGCGTCCTCAAGGTCTTGGCAGAACATTTTATAAGTTTCTGCATCACGAAGCTCTTCAACTAAGTAACCCACAACTTCAAAAGAAGCATACTTGCTGTTTCTGTTCAAAGCCTGCACTGCTGCAGTGAGTGATGATTGGTACTGTGCTTCCAAGACCACATAGACAATTTTCACAGTTGGGAGGCCTTGCTTATTTTCTGGCACAATACGCCGGACCTCCTGAGTGGTTTGGGTGAAGAGGCCATTGCCCATTGCACATTTCACTTTGAGGGAGGACTTTAAGCTGCTCGGGTTGACTTTTTTGGGGAGAAATGAGTGAAGAAAGTATTGCTTTCTGGAGAGCGAAGAAAGCTGGTCTGCTTTTGTGTTGGGTAAGGTGAAGGGTGAAGATACTAAAGAAGCCATTGTTAATCAGCCTCTGTATCTCACCACCAGAGCCTCTGTTTCAAAATTGAAGGTTGGAAAAATGAGAGAGAGAGAGAGAGAGAGAGAGAGAGAGAGAAGCAGAGCTCTCTCTGTGATTGTGTATTGTGCCTGAACTTGAGTTTCAGGTCTTATTCTTTCTTTTTCTTTGGGGTTTTGAAGATTGTTGTTTTATAGTTTGTGTGGAGAACAGGGGGAAGAAGAGCACACTTGGAACCAGTGACCTTGAAACAGTTGGTTTTCATGGCCAGTGGTGGAAGTTGGGGACACGTGGCTTCATGGGTAGTCAATGAATTATGAGTGAAGTTATTTCTGAGGTTGAGTTTCATTTTGGTATAGTTTTGAAAGAGCTGAGGGCAGAGAATCAAGAAGTGGGCAATGAGAGTGTAGTTATCTAATCTGTTTTGGTCATTCTGATGGAGTTTGCTGCGTTCTGATTGGTTGGAATGGATTTCCAAAAGTACCATGAAGAGCTTGAGAGCAAAGTGTGGATGATGAGAGAGAAAAAAGAGAAAGATATTCCCTTCCTTGTTTCCTTTGCTTGAACGAAGCACAAGCACAATTTTGCACAATCGGCGTGTAAAAATTCTGTCTGTTCAATTTTGTCTCTTTGTAAAAAGGAGGTGATAATTTTTCTGTGACAACCATGGGGCCAAGTATCTCAGCCATGTCCATGTCATTTCTTGTTTATACTTTCTTGATGCAGCTAAAGCATAAACTGAAGATTGAAGACAGAAAGTTCATAGTAAAATGCAAGCCCACTTATTAAAATTAACTGCACAAGACAATGATACATTAAGTCCTTTAGATCTTGCAACAAACCATTCTGGAAGAAAAGAAAAAAAAACCTTCGAAGAAATTAAACCAGGCATTTTATTAGGCTATGTGTACCAACTGTGAATTCATTTATATTTTTTTTAGCAAAAAGTTGAGCTTCCGTTTGCTTTTGGAAGGAAGAATAAGGAATGACAATGCAAGCAACAATAACCAATTAAATAGTTTGACCTAGAGTAAAAAGTTGTATTCATTTTACATGATCTATCAAAATTTTGAGTAGAAGCTTCAGCTTCATGATTGTAAATCGTTGGGTTTAATTTTCATCCAGTTTTGCTTACTGTGATTCCAATCTCCATAACCCGTACATTAAGTGACAATGATTGCACCTATGGTTTGCCTCCACATCTTTAACTTGAAGCCACATATTTTTGGGTCGGGGACACCAATTCCTCCTCTACTTTTCATCTTTCAAAAGTTACTTTTGGTAAAAAAGACAACAAAAACTTCTTATTATTATTTTCCCCCTTTTTTGTGACTAACAGTGCATTTGGATGAGAAAATTTAAAAGTACAAAGGATTTCATAAATAACAGAATTTAAAATAACAAAAATTAATGTTCTAGAATTTGTAAAGTTTCATATTTGGATGACTTATTTAAAACACGGAATTTAACCTTTATTTGTAAAGTTATTGTTTTTTAAAACTCAATCTCTCTTGAGATTTTAGAAATGACGACTTTTAGATAGAATTTAAACTTCGGATTTATGATCTCCAAATTTCTTTTTTTTTCCATGCAGAATTTCTAAATTTCTATGTTTTTTTTTTTTATCCAAACACCGGAATTGGTTCATGTCAATTTAGAAATTCTGAGTTTTGTCAAAATCCCAAGTTTATTTCCCTCATCCAAACGCACCATAAAGAAACACGTCAATAGGGTCTAACCCAGTGGAAATTGACCTTGACTTGCATACCAGTAGTTTCAACTTCGAATCCCTGTATCCTGTGTGTGAGAAAATCCCCTCTTTCCTATCTTTGACTAAAGAAGAAACATGTTACATAAGCGATGAAAACAGCATCAATCTTACATCCAGGCAGGCAGCTCCAACAATACACATTAAGCTTCATACATCCTTTTTGAAAGAGGCAAGACAAGACAAGTACAACCTTAGTTCTAGATTCTAACCAATCTGCAATGCGTGTAGTGAGTAATGAGTATCACATGGCAAGCTTTGCAACGGGATGCTTTGCCCATGCTGAAAGTAGCTCAAGGCATCAAAATTTCAAGAAACCAGAATTCTCACATCTGCTAATTGCTCTAAAAATGTGAAAAATGAACCAAAATGCAGAGCAGTTCCACATATAAAAAGAAAAGAAAAAAGACTAGTATTTCTAACTCTCAGAAACCTGCGCAACAACTTTCAACACAAAACAAGGATATAGAACCAAGATGTAAACCAATAACACAATCCCCTTAGGAGATGAAGGACAAAACTAATCAACCTCCATACTGGAGGTGACTTCATCTAAGATCATTTGAAGCTCCCTCGCTCTTTGCCTAGTCAGTGCAACACAATCCTGCACCACAGAGAGCCTTCCTGTTAAGTATCTGAATCATGACTTCATTGGTACTTTTCTTAGGCCACAGTTTTGTTCTTATTAACATATTTTGGTGAAGTAATACTTGATTGAAAAAAAAACGTATTCAACAAAATATGTAGGATAAAACATGCAGTTTATCTAAACTGCTCCACTAGCATCTTTCTGTGTTTGCAAACTGGAACAATTATGTAAAACAAATGAATAATAACTCACCCAGATAGTTTGATCATAATTAGCAAGAGAGCATTTCTTATAAGTTTCAAGCCTTTGAAAGTTAAAGCTTTTAAATGTTACCAAGTTTTAGATTATTGTTTCAAACTAAAAAAGGATTGGAACTTTACACTCTTTTCCTCTTCTATTTTTTCTATCGAGGCACAGAATTGATGTCAAAAACAGTTTTTAAAACCTTACTCCTGGAAGTAATATGAACATGAAAACCAGCATCCAATATAGTGATATGCATTTTCTTCTTTACTTTCAGTTATCATGGTTGAGCAGATAGACTGCAGGAACAAACTATGGAATTTGTAGTTTTAATCTCCTACCACGTGTAATTTGCAGGGTACCATCAAAATAATAACTTGAGGGTGAAAACTAAGAATCGACCTGGATAGCTGATGTATAGGCAAGAACAGGTCCACCTGGCTTGTAAAGAGACACAAGTTGACCAGATGAATCCAAAACCACAGTTACAAGAGTTTCCATTACAGACTCTTCCTCTGCGGTAGGGTCAGCCAAGATGTAATTCTTATGAAGCAAGCATGTTAATGAAAATGGAATACTGCTTAATGTGAGTTTCCTCTTCCCTTTATTGACTGGCTCCTTTCCTCCATGATCTCCAGACAAAACTACTACTTTCCCATCATCATTCATAGAAACTACAGGAATCTGCACTGCAAGGCATGAAAGTTATATGACCAGAACGAAGCTGAACAACACAGTTAGTGTTCAATTACAATTCTAAGCATGACTTACAGTTCTTTTAAAAAAAACTAAATTAAACTTCTTTTTCTAGCATACTAAGTGAGTACAATTGTTTTAACAGCAAAATAAATGTCAAAATGGAATTGTAAATATTAGAGAAACATAGATTTAATCTATGTTCTAAAATCAAACAGAAGTAGGGGCACAATTTTTACTGTACAGTACTATAGATACCAAAATAAAACTTGAATTAATTATAGGATGACCCAAAATGCTCTAAAAGTTCGATTTACTCTACAAATCAATTATATTTTTTTATATATTTAAAATAGCATGTAAAATGTCTCGTTTTTATATTTCATGTTGAGCAAGAAAAGATTTGCCGATCCACACAGAGAGAGAATTTAAAACAGGCATTTATGAATAAACATAAGCTTCAATGGGACTTGATTAATTTTCAGATGCATTTCTCAAATGCATAGCTTTCCTTCTTTCCTTCATTTATACATATATTTAGGTTGGTATAAAAGCTGAGAGTTCGAATAATATACTGGCTCTAAGTGCATAATGGTGGGGTAGGTTGGACTTTGGCAACTATGGTAATTCCATATGTTGTGTTCGCAGTACCAGACCTTTACATAGCCAACTCTTTAAACAGGGACAGAATGACAGTACAGGATACCACATGATGGGATGGCTGTAACACTTACAGTGAGAAAAGGCAGCAACTGCTGACAGCAAAGCAGCATCGAAAAGAGCACCATCAGCATCCAAACAATATATGTCCTGCAGTAGACAAATCAGACATTACTTCATAATATTATAACATACTTATATATATCAATATGTATAGGGAGCTTCTTAAGAGGGATCCCCTTTAGTTTTACTATTCACCAAAAAGGATCCCAGGGGGGTGCAACCATCAATGCGATTCGATAATCCAGACCGTTTTATAACCTCATTTAAGGATAATCTTTATTATAAAACAAAAGAACCGAAATTGGAAATCATTTAATCACAAAAAATTGACAAACACAAAGTTTCCAATATAACAACAAATATCTATGATGACAATGATGATCAAATGGTTAAACAATTTCCGACTTTGCTGATTTTTTGCAGGGATTATTCTTAAATTGGGATCTATAAACTAGACGGTTTGGATCGTTCAACCACATTGTGTAGTCCCCAAATAATGAGACCCCTCTTTACTATTCACCAAAAGCGATCCCTGTGAAAAAAACACACTAAAAAAGATTGCCATAGGCACTGACACCTATGAATTTTCCAAGTTTCCAAGTAATTACCAGGTAGGCCATCCAAGCAGCCTTTCCGCTGATCAAGGATAACTCCTTCAAATTAATCATGCCACAACTGCAACAACCAAGATAACTGGTAATTTCCCAAACTGAAAACATCAAATGAAGCATCAACTTTAAATAGGGCAAAGCCAACTTTGATGAGAGTTTTCACCATATAAAGATATCGACACCAACATAAAACGCTTCTGGGTTCAAATACGGAAACCAATATAACTAAAGCCAGTGTCCACCAAAAAGAAAAGTGGAAAAGTTGATTTCTGAATACAAGGTTCCTTTCAAAATGTTAGTTGGGATCCTCACAAGTAGAGCAACTTTAGTAGGATGAGTTGTTTTATAAGTGTATGGGCTCGAGTGAATGCTGTTATGTACTAGAGCATGACAGATAAGACAGCTGAACTGTTAATAAACAAAAAAGTCCTACAAACAATAAGAATTGGAACACAACTAAACCATCTATGATATACTAATGTGGACAGAACTAACAAAACTGACAAATTCAACTAAAGAAACTTCATGTAGAACTGAGAAACAAAGAACAACAAGATAGACATTTGACTTGCCTTAAAATAGTGTCAGATAACTGCTTCGACACCACAGGTGCTGCCTCAGCTGGCCTGCCAGGCCTAACAGTTGGGGAGCAAATTGGAGGCATGTGGAAATCAATTGCTGAAAATAGAAAAATTCGAAGTGTGGACAGCCAGTTAAATAAAAGAGAACAAGATTATATAGTTGAAAGAAGCAACAGAAATTTATCAAGTAGTGCAAGTCAAACCTATGCAACCCTCATCCGGTGACTCTTTTGAAGGGGTCATGACCTCCATTTTTATAGCAGCCAACATTCTCTAAACCCAAAAAAACCTCATCAGTTACAAGACCATATATCTCTTTTATACATGTAAAAGACACATAAATAGAGATAAGGAATTACAGTTGAACCAATCTTTACTAATGCTGAGCCATCAGCAGATGCAACAGCCCCTACATAAAAACGAAAAAACGTTCAGGTTACATGGCTAAATAAAGTTAAAATTCATAGTTGCGTAAACAAAGTTAAAACTAACTAAATGAAGAATGGAGAATTCCATATTATTGATTCTAGTTCAGGCTTTAGCTAACCAAGGGCTGAAGAAGTCTCTCTAGCTTCGGCTAGTGACCTGCCATCAGGTCGTGTAGATTTAACAAGATGAGTCTCAAAAAAACGAAGAGGAAACAGGCGTCTGAAAGCATCCACATCCATTTCTGACAGCACATCCCCAGAAGCATCTGGCAACACCATTCTCTTCTCTTGTTTAGCTTTCTAACGATGTGTCTTGCTCTACAAAGTAAAGACGCATGCTTTCAACATAAAACGAAATCAACAGTTCAACCACAAAGATATGAATTGCATTTCAATATACAGCGACTACTGCTTATCCATTTAAACTTGAGTTTGAGATTTTAGAGACGCCTGCATTAACAACCATATTGGATACAAGAATGTTTACCACAACACTAGACTTCAGGATTGAATATTAAAGGGAAGAAGAAAGGACTAAAATTGATAATCCCCTTTTTTCTATTTCACAAAAAGGAAAAAAACCCAGCAATGCAAAACTAGTTGCAAGCTTCCAGCTCGTAAATAATACCTTGCCTCCACACCCCTAGTGACGAATTTGAAGCCCCTGCTTATTACAAATGGGAGATGGGCTATTTTTTTTTCCAAGGGGAAGAATAGAACACAGAAACCACACACCAGCGCTTATTCACAGTCATTGATTGTTTTCATTAATTTCCAGTAGAACAAAAGCAATGATTTTAGAAAAGACGGCAAACCCAAAAAACGTTTCCTTTCCTAACAACCCACGAAAAAAATTAGAGGAAAAAACAGGAAAACTTAAATAAAAGCTTCAATGTGGTGTAGCAGACATTGCACATGTGTTTCTCTGCTTGAATTGAAGTATGAGATATTCAGAAAACAAAGAGAGAGACAGGCAGTATGATCATACCTGTTGAAGCTTCGAAGTTGAGAGAGAGAGAGAGAGAGAGAGAGACTGAGAAACAGAAATTAAACAAAAAGGGTGTGGGCGGGTCAAATAAATGGGTTAGGTTTTATAGGACCATGCCCGTTTGAGGTACGGGCTTTTAAAACCCATAATTGCCATGACCCGTTATCTTTGTCTTTTGTGTCTCCCAAGTTAAAAAATTCTTAGAACCAAAACCCTACTACGTTCTCGAGCTCAGCTGAGAGAGAGAGAGAGAGAGAGAGAGAGAGAGAGAAAAGCATGGCGTGCAGTGCTTCAGCTTGCCAGTCAAATTGCTACAAAACCCAGCAGGAAGAAGAAGAAGCTGTTAAAGACAACAACAATACCAATTCATTTGCTGCTAATATTAGCAGCAGCAACAACAACAGCAACAGTGGTTTGTGTCTGAAGTGCAAGGCCAACCAACCTATCTCTTCCAATAGCGACGGTGGTGACGATGCACGATTTTGCATCGATTGCTTCCGCGGCAATCTCTTCGGGAAGTTCAGGTTCGCTGTGACCTCCAACGCCATGATTGCTCCTACTGATAATGTCCTCGTTGCCTTCTCTGGTGGCCCTTCTTCCAGGTCCGTCTCTCGATCACTCTTGGATGTTCATTTGATTCGATTTTAATCACAAATTGTGCTTCATGTAGTAAGAGAACGAAGAAATTTGATCAATTTATAGATACCTTCTTTCTGAAATGAATCGAATTCTATGTTTATGTAATGAATTTTGTGCATAAGGTGGATTATAGAATGTTAGAAAGTGCCTTTCCGCAATTTAAAAGATATCTCCTGAAACGTTGTTGTATGTAAATTTCGGACTTGAGATTTTTTGAAATACGGAAAAAAAAATGTTATTTTGGTTTCAGGGTTGCCTTGCAGTTTGTACATGAGATGCATAGTAAAGCGCAGAAGAATTTCGATGCATGTAGGGATAGATCGTTGCCAGTTTTCGGTGTTGGAGTTGCATTTGTTGATGAAAGTTCTGTTTACTCTGTCCCCTCTAATGAAACCGACAAAGTAATTGGAGACGTTAGATTGATAGTGGAAAATCTTGCCCCGCCATCGAAGGAGTTGTATATTGTACCTATTGAAAGTGTCTACTCTTCAGATTCTGGTGATGGAAGGGAGAGATTAAAGAAGTTACTGGATGCTGTTGGTGATGCAACTGGGAGAGAAGATCTTTTATTACATCTACGCATGTTGGCCTTGCAAAAGGTTCAGATCTTGATATATATATTTCAAGTCAAAACATACAATTAAGGGCAGCAAAATTAATTTATGCAGAATGTTCTGTTTATGGTGCAGGTTGCCTCTCAAAATGGATACAACAGACTTCTACTGGGGTCATGCGTATCGAAGATTGCCTGCCATGTTATTTCAGCCACTGTCAAGGTTTTTTCTTAGTGTCTTCAGTTGAATGCTCATTTCCCTGAAGATAAAACTGCTTACTGTCTCTAGTGAATGTATTAGATTCTTTTACTAATTCATGATATTTGTAATGAATGTTGTGGATTATAATGTACATTGCCTTGACTGCATTTGATTTGAGAGATAGTTTTGTCCCCAAGAAAATGCTTTTAAACCGATAATGACTGGTAATCCTGTACATGGATCAATGAGAGACCTGGCTAATTACTGGTATTTGGTTACATTAATCCTTTTCACGAGAATCTAGGTTTTGCTTCATGCAATTCCGTTACATACATTTGCGACTCTGTCTTGTGGAATATCAGTTGCACTTAACACTCTAGCAAGGTGTTGTTTATGTCGAGATTATTTCATCTTCTCTGATGTCGAAGCTGTAAACTGGTTTCTCCTCTTCATTCAAACAATATTTATGAGTAACTCTGAGTTATTATCAATGAACCTAGAAAAATATCATCTCAGATAATAGATGTTGTTGTGCTCCTTTATATGATACCTTTTTTCCACGGAAACCAACTGTCCACTATTGCATTTGATTCAAATTTTAGTCCGAATTCTGTAGGAAGGTCACATGATTTGTGGAATGAAAGACCATTGGTTTCAATGGTGTATTTTCTCAAGTTTATGTTGAAGCTCGAAAGGCATTTTGATATATCTTATTTGTACTTGATTTTTAACAGGGCCAAGGATATTCTTTACCAGCCGATGTACAGTATGTTGATGCAAGGTGGGAGATCCCAGTTGTGCTTCCCCTTCGTGATTGTCTTGCCAAAGAGCTGACCATGCTTTGCCGCCTTGATGGGTTTGTAATTTATGCCATTTTGGTTTAGCTTCATAGAGAATTTTGTTTTCCTTACTGAATTATGTCTGATCTCTCATCTTGCCAGGGCAGTCTAAAAACTGTGGAGTTGATAAGAAGTCCTTGCACTGGCATAAATGGCTTGGTCTCATCATTCGTGACACTTTTGCAGGTACAAAGTGGCCCAGTTTCTCTTATCATTTATGACTGATCAAAAATATTTGTTCGAGAGTAGCCTTGGAGATCAGCTTTTACTAAGAATAACTTCACTAGTAAAGTTAAGTATGCACTTGAAGAGCAATTATTGCTTTGTTCTTCAACAAGATGGGAGGGTACACAATTAAGGGTTAATGATTGTTTAGCTAATTGTAGTCTTATGTGGATGCAATTTGAAAAAGGCATCACCAAAAGTTGATAAGGTAAGTTTTAAAGGTTAAAATTGTGCAACGTTTGAAAACAATGTGCTTTTTTTTTGCATAAATGTGGTCTTACGGCAAAAGTAAATTTTCCTTTAGTTAGAAACACATATATTAGAGGCAGTAGTTTTACCTTGAAGTTTCTTTCAGATAGAACTTGAGAACAAAAGCATGTATCATACCATTCTTACTCCACAAGTAATTCACTTTGGTTAAATACACATATAAAGAACTTGATGGGCAAGTCAAATTGAACTTTTGTTTTCCAGGAAGAAAATCCTTCTCGAGAGTGCACAATTATGAGAACAGCTGGAAAGCTTATCCCATTTCATTTCAACAAAATTGAAGAGATCGATGACTCTAATGTTCTTGTGGCAACTCGAAGGCGTCAGAAGAGATATAACCTTAAACCTAATGAATCTTTTTCCTCCGAGTCGTTCTGCTTTATCTGCAATAGCCCACTCAGCAGATCTGACTTGCTAAGTTTGAAGAACCTGGAGAGTCACAAAACAAGTTCTGTTTGCTGTTCAAGCTGCCAGTTCCAAATACTTCCCCAAGACCCCTCATCAGTAAATGAGTTGTATACTCTTTTACCTGAGCAACTGTTTGCCCGAGCAAAGCATGAAAACCTTGACCATTACAGTGCCCTCAGGTGAAATACTACACTTATTAATCATGTATGATGTTTACCTGCTGGCTTCGGTTTTCAAAATTCCTTAGAAGCTATGAAGAAACCTTGTTCTGGCTGTGGGTTTAATTAAGCACATGCACTTCTTGTGAACCCAAAATGACGAAAACTATAGGACAACTAGATGAACTTAAAGTTGATTATGTCTGTCATTTTGTGCCACAAAACTTCCAACCAAAATTTCAAGATTATCAGAAACTTATGGAATCGGCATTCTCTAGAGTATGCCATCTGGATGCCAGTCTACCATTGAATAGTTGCATTTGTGTGTTGCGATTATGTACAAAACATTTGACTGACCTCTTTTGGTCATGTATGGTCAATTCAATTATTTGTATCCTTTGTGTAGCTAAAGAGAAAAAAAAATAGAGAGAGAGAGAGAGAGAGAGAGAGAGAGAGGGAGAGAAACCTACAATCGTAACTCAGCCTTTTCCCTATTGCTTTATGTTTTCTTTCAGGGAACAAATACAAGATTGCTTGCTTTCAGAAGGTGAAGATGAAACTTGAGTCGGCTCACCCTTGCTTGGGATCTCAATTATTGAAGCTAGTAATAGGCACTATTTCAATTTAGCCCTTCAGATTGTTTCTAAAGGATGGTGTTAGGATTATGGGCCGCTAGTGGACTTGCGATGCCAACAGCTAATCACTAAAACAGCATGCAATCAACTTCTGATCTTTGGACGACATCCTCCTGTTCTAATTGTCTAACATGGTTTCGAAATAGTGATCTTTGATTCTGTCTTGATGGTGGTATTTATGTTGTGTATCAGAAGTTGCAAAGTCGAACTTGGTTCAGTGAAATTCTACCAGGCTTGAAAATTATTAGATTGTTTCTGCTTGATGTGCAGAAAATTCAATACTCTGCCTTATTATGGCATGATATGCATGAGAAGAAATTGTGAGTAAATTGTGTTGAGGAATGAGTGCAAGTCGAATGGCTGCTATGATAGTGGTAGGATTCTCTAATTCTTATGAACAGTCTAGTTATCTCTGGTCCATAAGTTGTTTGTGCTAATGTATTTGGCAAGTGGCCCAAGCCATTGTACGCAAGTAGTTAGGGCTACCTGGCAGCTTCTAGGGCTTTTGTTTACCTTGTGGGGGGCTATGGTGCGATGAGTAGCCATTCCTCACTGGAGGCACTCATTCTCTTTGCAAAATTTTGTAGTGAGGGTGTCATGTATGGATTCCTCGTGTGGACATTCATATTAGTCACATGATCATTTCATTAAAATTAAGTGAAGTTACTATTCAGGGGAATCATGTGGTTAATATGAAGGTTTGTATCTATGGTCCGTATATAGCTTCCTCACCATAGAACAACTCCATTCTTGTTTCCTCGTTTTTATTTTGAATCATCAAAAAGCTACAAATATCCATTCAAAAATTCAATAGAATGGGGTAGGGCTGCTCTGGTAAAGAAAAAACATAAAACAAAGTAAATTGTCTCTTCTGTCTACAAGGTATACGGGAGAAGTGAAACTAGGTTTTCTATAATTAAGCTTCTAAGGTAACTGAATATAGACTAGTTTCTACGTTCTACCTATTTGACCCATCAAAAATCACGATAGGATCTGTTTTCATCCTTTCCCAGTTACATTGTGATCTATCCCTTTTTTTAGTACAAGCGATAGTCTAAATTGGTGGGGAGGGGGTTTCTCACACACAAACGAGCATCTCCAACAGACTCTCTATCCTCTTATCCCTAGCTACTTTGGTTAAAAAGAAGGAAAATCATCCTCCAGCAAACTCCCTACTTGGCTCTCTATTTTGGAGAACCAACTTTTGGCTCTCTACATGTAGAGAGGAGGAGAGAGAATTTGGTTAGGAGAAGAGAGAAAAAGGGAGAGAGAGATAGAGACATTTGAGAGGTTGGTGGGGTTGAGTTTCTTTTTTTTATATATAAATATATTTGATTTGCAAGAGAAAATAATAATAAAATATTTCAAATTAGTCAAAATAGAGAACATTGCTGGGGAAACACCTTTTAAGTGGTTTGCTATAATAGCTTTTTAGCTATTTTAGTTAGAATTTGGCTAAAATTTGGAAACTCTCCTGGAGATGCTCTAAGATGCCATAGAGGTTCGAACTTGATACCTCTGGCCTACAAATCAATGCATTTTTCCACAGGGCCTTATTGGCCACATTGTGATCTATCTTAATCTTTATTAATTAGTTAGAAGTTAACAAATCCAAATAAAAACAAGACACGTGGACCAATATTAATGAGACAGCTGGACCGATGACAATCAGCAAAGAAATATGCAATGTAATATCGTCATTAATTTACTCGAATGACATTAACATAAAACAAGACAAACTACCTCTAATATTTAGAAACTATGGTAAATTACTCAAATGGTCCTCAAACTTGTACCCGATTTACATTTCGGTCACTCAATTAAATTATTAGTCCAAATAGTACATAAACTATATTTTAATCGCCCATTTGATCCAACCATTAGGTTCTGTCAATGTTGCCGTCAAATATGAGGGCAAATTGGTCATTTCGTACGTTAAAAATAAAAAAAATACTGAAAAATAAAATAAAAACTCTCTCTCTCTCTCTCCATTCCCCCATGGCCACCACCCTCAAGCTCCAACCCCCAAACCCATCCCACAACCACTCTCCACCCAAACCCATTCAACAACTACCCTCCACCCCAGGCCCCATCAACCCATAACCCCAGCTCCCCCTCCCCCTTGATTTCCCTTTGTCATTGAGAGACAACCACCCACCGCTCTTTTCTTTTTTACCTCTGCCCCATCCTCCTCTTTTCTTTCTCACTCTCTCTCTCTCAGTTACCCGCAACCCAAACCTCATCCAACCATCCCCGACCCACTCTATGCCATTCTCTCTCTCTCTCTCTCTCTCTCTCTCTCTCTCTCTCTAGAATCTTAGTCAAATCTCATTTTTCTCAAGGTAGGGAAGATGAACAGGATTAGAAGCTTAACAGATTCAGTTCTTGAAGATGTGGGCCCAGAAAGAATAACTCCAAGTGACAAATTGTCAAGGTGGAGACAATTTAGGTTGAGGCTGTGGAGGCCTCTGCAACCACCAACAATACTATTTAGAATCTGGACATCTGGAGAAAATGTCGGCATATACAATTTCAATTGCCATTCTTTTTATAATTTTCAGAGGGTGGTGGTCATGGGGGAATGGAGAGTGGGATGGGTTTTGGAGCTTGAGGGTGGTGGTCATGGGGTGTCTGTGGGGAATGGGGGAGAAGAAATCCAATATCCAAGGGGGGGGTTTGGGTCTCATGATTTTTTTTCTCTTTTCTTCAATTATTTTCAAATTTTGTATTTATTTTAACCCTATTTTATTTGTTAATTATAAAAAGTCGTATTTACTCTAAAATTTGATTAAATTTAACAGAATATTAGACAGTAGGACCAATGGAACGATTAATATATAGTTTATGTACCATTTGGACTAATAATTTAATTGAGGGACCAAAATGTAAATCGAGTACAAGTTTGAAGACCATTTGAGTAATTTACCCTTAGAAACTAACATATGGACACTACTTCCTTCTTTCTGCAAATTACAATTTGACACATATGCAAAAATAATTCATCAAAAACACAAAAAGAAAAATATATGCACACATGCCAAATTGTGATTGGCAAGAAAGTAGGAGTTCCTACTTTCAGGGAAGGAGGCAAGTATTTTCCCTAACATATTGAAATTAGAGGCCTTAAACTATTTGGAGGCCACGACAACTTTTGGCCTAAACATAATTATGTCTTTGACAATACTGTCATATGGTGTTAATAATTCACACATATTATAACACATAGATTAATAATGCTATATGGCACAATTACTATTTATGCAACTTATTTTTCAACCTATAAGAACATACAATTTTTCACCACTTATTTTTCCAACATATATGATGCATGATATATGATCACATACTTATCACATTTTCAAAAGCAAGTCACACCAGCAATCACAGACTTATCACATTTTTGCCAAATAGGTCGTGAACAAAAAAATTGATGAAATGTACGAAAAAGATGACAAGAATTTGCTCATGAAAGTTTGAGTTACCACTATATCTCTAGAAGCATGAAGAAAAGATTCCCATGTTTCCTCATGATTTATATGCATTCCTCTGTTCTATAACCAAAGGCATGCTTACTAATAGAGAATGGGAGCTCTCATTCAAGGTCATTCCAATATTTACTAGTATTTTGGGAATCAAAATAAGAGTAGGGCTTGCATAAAATCAGTAATTACACCCCGATTTTTCAATAATGAGATTCCATGATAAATGGGTGATCTTGTAATTACTAGTAATCATGGGTCATCTGTCATCACTTTGATTCCAAGTGAGTAAAAATTTCACAAATTCGAAATTCACTTACTTTCTTGCCTTAACAATAGACTTCTAAGAGTACATTTTTGCGAGTCTTATTATTCAATCTCTTCCGATTTGGTTTGTTTAAAAATGCAAGAGCAGTGCAATAGAGATATTGGAGGGAAACTATATTTGTTTAGAGGGACAACTTTGAGCATAGGCAAGGCCCAAAATGTAATACTTAAAAGTCATCATCAAATCAGTGGCCGACCTATTAAGGCGCAAGGAAATGCCTAGATGAAGTTCTTCTTTTTAAGTGTTGTTGCTGCTCGCTTCTTTTTTTAAGAAAAAAATGGTCAAAACGACGTGGTTTTGAACCAGACTTAAAAAAATAAAATAGAAGAGGAAACCTACTGCCATTTTGTGGGCTTTTAATAGGGCATCCATAATTCCTTATTTAAATGGGATTGAGAGTCCTCTTTATTTAATTGGGCTTTAATAGGGATGCAAATATAATGCGACGTTTTCATAATATGAAATCTTGTCGGCAACAATTGTAGATTAATTGTAATGTTATTTCTTCAATTAATTATGAAAAGCATTAGTATTGTTTAAATTATAAGGATATTTAGTTGTCTATCTTTTTTGTGTGGAACTT